AAAGTAAAACGCACCTTCAAATAGTATCGAGAGATGTGGTTTCAATAGTGATTGCCTTAAAATATATTTTTATCTCTAACTATAAAATTTAAAACTTGAAAAATAGTGTAGATCGAGCGCATCTATGAAAACTTGAAAATTGGTCTATAAATAGATGCACTATTTTTAAAACTTAAAATCTATATTTTTTCATGTCCATCCATATTGAGGTCAAGATGATGAATTTCATAACATTTGAGCATCAAAATAACCATCTTTTTAGTGAAATTTTGTTGAGGTGCGTCCTAATTTGATTGTTTAGAGCCCGACAATTATATAAACCTTTTCCTTTAGAAATATGGGTACACTTGAAACTTGAAGTCGTGCATGTGAGGTCACAATACTTGCACGGAAAATCTTGTAGTGATACGTCCTGACTTTGGCGAAAAAAGATTAAAAAAAGCTTACAAAATGTTTTCCCACTTCTATTGCGAAAAATAGGACTTCCTCTCTCTTCTCGCATGTTGACTTCGAACCCAGATAACGACTTTTGCGTGTAATAACATGCGTACGCCACCAAAAAGGTCCTCGTTTCTCTCTCTAGCTCTCTTTCTCTCTCTACCCCATCATCAAGGCCTCTCTCTCTCCTCGGTCCTTCCTCGATATAACGGACTCTCGGAAGCTCCAACTGAATCTTGCAACTCAACTCAGAACGCAACACGTGTCGTCCAAAAAATTTAATTCTCATTTTGTCCCCAACTCGTAAGCCCTGAGCCAACCAAAAAATCTCTCTCTCTCTCTCTCGTTAACTTTTTTTTTTTGAAAAATCTCTTTCTCTCTCTTATTTTTTTTATTTTTTTAAAAGATCTCTCTCTCTCTCTAACATTTTAATCCCTATTTTCATTCTTCAATTCCGGCGATTTTGTGCCCTCTCTCCATCAAGTAGAAGCCTGAATTTGTAGGGTCTCTATAAATGGGAAGTTCATAGCTGGTTTCTAGGATTGCCGAAACACAAAAATCAGTATTGATTTCTTGGATTCCGAAACTTTTCTTGGGTTTCTGAAACTTGAAAGTGCGGGTTGCTTCCTGGGGTTTCTAAATTAGGAGTTTATTTGGGTCTCTGATCCTGAAAGTCAAGGTCGAGAATTTCTTCGACTATTTCTATTTGTTTTCCCCTTTTCAGCTGCGAATTGAGACTGTAAATGATATGCATCTTTTCAGATCTTTTGCTTAGTTTGCGTTGAATGCGTTTTGGGATTTCTATAAGTGGAAAGAAGGGTTGTGGCATGATTAGTCCTGAATTTACAGTAACAGGACGAAACTTCCTTTTGAATCTTTTGGCTGGAGGTGATTTTTAGGGCTTCCGTGTGTACAGAAGATTTTTTAAAGGCTTGGTATAGTTTGGAATACAATTTGTTGATGGATTGTGAATGGGGGTTGTTTGACTGTTGATGAAATTCTAGGTTTTCTTTTAAGAGAAATAAGAGGTTGAGGATTCTCTGGTGATAGATTCTACGGTTTTTTAAGTAGAAAGGGTAGATTGGGTCTTCTTTGAATTAAAGTTATTCTGCTTTCTCAAAGAAGGGAGAGGAGCATTGGTTCTTTTTGTGGAGACGTTTTCTATCAGTGAAAGAAGCTTTTCCAACCTTTCTTTGTGTTTTGTAGGCCCTGGGATTATGCCTTTTAGCTTTCTTGGTTTACATTAAATTTTAGCTTTCTTATTGGCGTGAACTTTTTCTACAGGAGGAAATATCTCAAAGTTTTTACAGAGTTGGGTGTACCCTGTTTCTAGAAAGTGCAGTGGGCTTCTACATTTGGAAGACGCTGTTTTGTTTCCATAGATTTTCTGGTCTCTGTTTTTCCTCACGTTTGTTGAATATTAGAATCCCATAAATAGTTGATCTGAAGTTTTAAGCAAGACCTCTATTCTATTTCCCATGTTTGAAGGTTTCCACAATTGGAAAAATTTGCTCTGGGTTTTTCAGATACAGATCTTGTGAGTTGTTACATTTCTTAATCCTTTCATCACTCATTTGGATCCCTCAAATTTTCAAAAAAATCATCATCCAAAGTTCAAAACTGAGAGAGTTTTGTTGGGAGGCATTTTTGTTCAGTGATATTTGCTCTTGAAAATCTAGGTTTCTTCTCTCTCGTTCTGTTTAGGAATTCTGGTTCTACAATGGTGGCTGTTGAGACTGATAATACTTTGGGCAGTCTAGAGGTGAATGGCTCAGAGATTGGCGTCCCTAAAGATGCAAAGAAGATTTTGATGTCTTTGGCCTCTAAGTGGAGTGATGTAGTGGATGCAGAACATTTGGAGATTGTTCCTTTGAAGGGAGCCATGACGAATGAGGTTTTTCAGTGTCATTGGCCAACAGCTGAGGGAGAGGTTCCTCGAAAAGTCCTGCTCAGAATATATGGTGAAGGTGTCGATATTTTTTTTGATAGAGAAGATGAGATTAGGACCTTCGAGTGCATGTCTAAGCATGGGCAGGGGCCTCGTTTGTTGGGTCGGTTTCAAAAGGGGCGTATTGAGGAATTCATTCATGCTCGGGTATGTGATCGAATATGGTCTTTACTTTCTTGGTTAAATAGGATACTTGGTTGGTGGGTTCTTTATACTTTTGGTTTTATGGGATAATTTGTTGTCGGTTTTTGTTTTGTTTATTTTCTTTTCTAGTCACGCAGTTTAGATTTCAGCTACGATATATTGTTTGGGTTTTATGAATTTTTTGTTATTGGGTTTTCGTGTATTTTTATCATTTTAGTTTCTAATCTTTGAGGATCATGAATTGCAGATTGGATTTCACCTATTCATTTTTCTTTCATTTGCTGTTATGTAGCTCTCACATTCTCACAACCGTTAAAATTATTGAGAAAGATACAATTCTTTGCAACAATACATGGAATGATCAGATCTTGCATGTCCCTTTTCTCCCATTTTTCATTTTCTTTTGTCCACCTTAATTGTCAAGATGTGGTGTTTCTTTTCTCTTCTTTGGGAGGCCTTTATATCTCGTTTTTAGCTTTCGTTTCTCTTTTCTTCATTTCTTGGCTGTTCTAAACAGAATCAATGAGGAACTGCAAGTCTCATTGTTACAGTTATTTTCGGTCTTTGATACACTCATGGTACTGGCTTTGTACTGCTTTTCTACTAATATTATAATTTCTCTCTGTGGGCTTTCCCTGCCAAATGTTTGATTTGCCATATTTGCGGTTTCTGGACTTACAAATAATAATTCAAAAGCCTTTTAGGTACTGTGTGGCTGCCAAAAAAATAGTTTCTAAAATTAAGAACTTCACAGACAAAAGGGAAAAAATAAAAGAAAAAGAATCAAAGAAATATAAGATGCTTCCAGTGTTAATATGAATAACAGGTACCCTGAACCCTCTACAGGGACTGAGAAATAGTGAAGCTATCTGCCATGGAAGATGACTTATAGATGATAAATACTTCAATCATCTCGAAGTTAGCCTCTGAAGCTCTAGGGGGTTGTACATGTGATGGTTTTTGGGTACTTTCATTCTAGATAACCTGCAGTAGGTCATATGATTTACCAGCCCTTTTTCTACTTCGCAAAGTAACAAAATTTGTCGGACCATATTCTATGTTGAGATTTACCAATCGTATTGAGTTTACTAGAAAGCTTGCAGCAAACAATTGTATAGCAATCTAAACCAGCACCAAAGCATCAGAAGTAAACATGAGGTAGTTTCAGGGTACTTATCATTTTGGGCACAACAGCTATGCTCCTAGATAAGGTTTAGTAATTCTGCTTCTACCCTGTATAACAACAGAAAATTTCACAGACCATCTTCTATGTTGCTCCAATTATTTTTACTTTCTTAGAAATTTGATGTTCTTCTCATTTCATAACTTATTTTTTAAAAACTTGCATGAATGCTTGATATGCAGTCCTATCCTGGCAGATTCTAGGCTTGCGTCCAGGCATTTATATTATCTTTTTGTGTATGGCTTTTATCATGTCTTGTAACTCTATGACTTTTAATTGAACATGGGTTGGAAACTTGGATTTCAGACACTTTCAGCACCTGATCTGCAAGATCCAGAAGTGTCTGCGCTCATCGCAGCAAAGTTGAGAGAGTTCCATGATCTAGATATGCCTGGTCCAAAGAACGCTCGCCTTTGGGATCGACTGAGGTCAGTACTTTATTCCCTTTGAAGTACCCGCCACGGGTCAAAATCACTGATTGCTTTCTATAGTGCTTTTGAATTCTTTGTTCAAATGTATGTCTAACAAAAAGAGAAACATATTAGAATTCTTTGTTAAAATGTATGTCTAACAAAAATAGAAACGTATAAAAACTGGAGAAAAAGAGTCAGAGCTTCAGAAAATTGACATCTATGGAAAGGAAGAATAGGGGTAAGGAAGAGGGTTGTGGTTGGGGGGGGGGGGGGGGAAGAGTGTGTGTGGGTGGTGGAATCAATCTTCTTGGTTGATTTGGTTAGAATTTAGGGTATACTGGTCAACATGTTTATGCTGGCTCTTATGCCCTTTTGAAAATATTGGTGAGGGGCTGATTCTATAGTTTACCTGTGGTGATAATTTTATCCATGGTTTCTGGCTGTTAAGTTTGCTCATTTAAATTGAAGTTCTTTTATTGCTTTACAGGAGTTGGCTCAAGGAAGCCAGAAAAGTGTGTCCTCCAGAGGAAGCTAAAGACTTTCGCTTGGACATTATGGAAGAAGAGATAAAATCTCTACAACAAGAACTCTCAGCAGATAATCAAAAGATTGGGTTTTGCCATAATGATCTTCAGTATGGAAATATTATGATGGATGAAGAGAACAAATCAATAACCATAATTGTAAGGCCTTCTTCTTTTTACCTCAGTACTGTATAGGTCCAGTGTGTTATATTGCTCCTTCGCATGGTTTTGGATTCTGAGTATCACCTAAGAGTTGGGAGAATGATGTCTGCCAGCATCCTGATGTTGGTGCTCGTGCCCCTAATCTCTACTGAAATTGGTTAAATTTGTAGCAATTTGAAAAAGATGGTGAAATCTGCTATCTATCTCAATATTTATTTTAAAGTGGGCTTTTGAAATATTATATCCACCATTCTTCTTTTGGACTATGCAACCTTTTTTTTCCTTCTATTTTCAAGTCACCACCTTAAAATTTAGGCTGAAACCATATTTTTCATTTCAAAAAAAAAAAAAACATAGGCTGAAAACCACTTCAAAATATTAGATTTGGTTTAAACACCTGGCTAAAATTGTTTCCACATCCAAGATATCTTTGCCTGCTTTTGAATTTCTATCAGTACTTCTAATATGCCCTTGTGCATATTTTTATGCCTTATCATGTGTGGATTCCATATTACTCAGAATTTTGATAGAGACAGGTCTGCATTTTGAGATGCCATTTCACAAATTTTATTTGCTTAACCTCTTCATTTTCTTCAATCCCAGCCATGGGAATATTAGTTGAGCTCTAACTGAACTTAAGGAATCCTTGTACAAAAATGTTTCTTCTGAATGTCCAGTGGAATTTAAGATGGACGACTTTAACCCTAGGAATCCTATGCTGATACAAAATGCAGTATTCCCTAATTGAATCTGCATTTCGCTGATAGCTTCTGTAGCTTCTGTTTGTTCTATGTTCCAAATTTGGAAATGAGTGAAATTTTAGAACTGAAATAGCTTTGCCTCTTCACTTGGTACCTGTATTCTCAGGACTACGAATACTCTTGTTACAATCCTGTTGCAGTTGATATTGCAAATCACTTCTGTGAGATGGCTGCTAACTACCATACTGAGACACCTCATATTTTGGACTACAGCAAATACCCCGGTTGGTTTTTACTTCTTTTGTTAGTTTCATAAATTTCAGAGGGAAAGAATATCATGGTTCAGTGGACTATGGTCTATGGTAGTCTAAAGCTACAGCAACCGTTGGTTCCCACTGATGGATGGCTACCTCTCCTTCTGTTAATCTCCCACTAACTTCGGAAGGAAACAATGATGGATATTGGAGTACTGTAATACCATAATCCGTTGGACTATGTAGACTTCCCTTCTCTCAATCAGGTAACTCAATGCAAGTGTTATTGTTGTACTATGTTGAATTTCCATTGGCTGCAGATCATGAGGAGCGCAAAAGGTTTGTAGAGGCATACCTCAATTCATCAGGCAAGTCATTTAACTGTCTCCTGCATAGCCACGTGTTCATGTTGGACGGTGGATATATGTGTTAATTTATGTGTGTGACTTCACACATCCATATAAATAGAATGCAGTATGACATGTATGGGCAGGTTCAGTAGGTTTTGATCTGAGCTCGCTGTTTTTCCGAGCATGTTGTCTGGGCACCATGCCCAAATTCACATGTAGGAAGAATCATATTATAATGGTTAACTAAGTATTTCGAAATGGCAAAGTTGACTGTAGTCTGATGGAGTGACAATAATGGAGATTAACTGCATTACAGTTAATCTTAAACAATCATCATCGTGAACGGATGGTGTATGCCCTTTCGGAGTACGATATACCATACTTCATGGGATTATGCTAATGTGAACTGCAGAAGTTTATAAGGTTTACAGTATATGTTAATCAATATACAATATTAATGTTTTAATCAATACACAATATTAATCAACACGCAATATTTAGTTTGATTAATTAACAGATCATACCTTTCTCTTCATTGATAAGATCATCAATTTTGGTAGGAGAGCATTGGTTACAAAACATAGCACTAATTGATTGACATAGAATCTGATGAACAGAGTTTATCAGGGAAATGAAAAAGACATTTATACCTTTTAAATAAGGGAAAAATGCTAAAAAGCACTCAATTTATTAAAAAAAAAGGAATGAGATGGAAGCTACATACCACAACGGGGTCCTGATTGAAGTGTAAAACTAGCAGAATTTCGGCTATCTATGCTACTGTGCCCATGAAAAGGAAATATCGTCAAGCTTTAACAAAACCAGCTATTTATCAGTGTTAGCTTCATTGTAATACCTTCACTCTATACAGGTGAACAGGCGAGTCATGCTGAAGTTGAACAACTTTTGAATGATGCTGAGAAGTACACACTTGCCAGCCATCTTATTTGGGGCCTATGGGGAATCATCTCCGTGAGTAATCTTTGTTCCATCAATGAATGCTGGACCTCTGCTGTTTTCTTATTCCAATAGTATCCCTCCCTCCCTCTTTCCCTCCTTCGCTTTCGCTCTCTATGTGTTTTTTTTGTGTGTTTTAGAGGCGCCGAGGGGGTGGGGTGATTGTCACATGCACTTAAAGGATACACACAAAAATCCGTTTGTGGAAGTATAAGCTGAGAGTATGCTATAGTCTAAAGTGCAAAGGGGCATCAACCTCTTATTTTCCCGACGAAGGAGATAATGGATACTGGAGATCAACTGTACCTGGGTGAATGCCCAGATGAGGTTAATCTCCACCATCCAACATCAGGAGCGAATGGAAGGATTCTCCTATGGAGTTTTGTATACTATGCGTTACAGGATACTTTCTTCTTTAGCTTCATTTTGTTCTGTAATAAAGCATTCACTGACTTGTGCAGGCGCATGTAAACGATATCGCCTTTGACTACAGGGATTATGCAAGACAGAGGTTCGAGCAATACTGGACGAAGAGGGCCGCAGCTTCAAGTTCTTCTCTGTCTACTTGAATTTGTCATGTACTATATGACTGTTTTTCTTTTTCAAAAGGGGTTTGGTTAGCTAGGATATAGTTCTTTCATTTGTTAACTGATTGTAATTTGTATAATAATGATTGAAATGTACATATATGCAAACAAGATTGCTATTGCACGAGTAGTTGCTCAGGAGCTCGATATTGATATTTGTATGCCACATCGGGAAACATGTTGCTTGGGATGATTCTCCTTTTTGGAATCATAAAGTTTGCCACATGCTTAAAAGTGTCGGTGTTTTGTGTGTGAGAGAGAGAGAGAGCATTGGTTTGTGGCTATTTCTGTTTTCATTTAATGGTTAAAACCAAGGCTCGGGTGATCCAATAACTGATTAATTTTCACACTGCATTCATCTGATTTCTGAAAATAGAAGAAGCACCCATCTGTGTCCATGTCAAAACTGGGTGGAGCGCTTATTGTATCCCAAGTATATAATCTATGTACTCTCTCAGTTCTTGGGCTGCAACCATGGCAAAAAGAAGATATGACAGTGCAGATGTGTCTCTCTATAGTCGCACCAATTTGTCTCTCTCCAATTAGCTCAAATCTATTCTCTCCAATCTGCTTGAATATACTCTTTTAGCCTCCTGTCCCCTTGTTTCATTAACTGGCACCAGCACCTTCCACTTCTCTCTCCTCAGCTCCAAGAAGTACGGATCAAACATCATAGAACGTGCTGCTTCATTTTAAGCCAACACCCCATCTAGAGGTCTTATCACATGCTCGCTGTGCTGCAGTGGCATACGGTGAATATGCAAAATCTTCAATTTTAGTGTGGAACTCTGCTACCATAGAGAAGAGTGCCTCTTCATTTGTTCAATCTGGTGATGATGATGATCTCAACGTTTATGGTTTTCACCTGGACTCTGTGAACTTGACTTTTAAGGTGATTGTAAGATCTGGGCATGCAGATCAGAACTATGAGTTCGATTGTGACCGTGCATTGGAAATTGGCAGCCGCCATGTTGACATGGAGGACATGAGCATCGAGCTGTACCTCTGTGTGCAAGGGGAGTGTTATGAGGTCGGGTTTACGGATGGAGTTTACAACAAACCATTTGGAATTAGAACCCGATGAAGTCACCTCAGTAACTAATCTTTTTATTGACCAGATTTTTCTTTGAACGCAAATGGCATGCTTTTTATAAGAGCATATTGCACAAAAAAAACCCCTTGGAAAAAATAACTTCGTCGATGTTGATTGGAGAAAGAATGAAAATATATATATATAAGGGTAACAACAATGGTCATAAAAAAAAAAGGGAAAAATTATAAGTACACCCTAATGCCCTACTTTTTAGACATCTCCTCCTCTCTCCCCCCTTAAAAACAACAAAAAATAAAAGAAATAAATTTTTTTTTTTTTACATTATATTATTAATCCAAATATTGTTTATTCTTATACCTACTTTTGAATTTAAAAAATAGATATTTTAGACCTAAATACCCTGTCATTTCAACTAATGTTTATCTTTTTCTTATTGTTCTCCTACTTTCTCTCTAAGCTGACCATTATAATATGTTGGATGGGCAAAATTTCAATATAAGACTCTCTAAGACATTTCGTGTACCGAAACAATTTTAATATCAGAAGTTACTCTGGCACATTTTATATCGGCTCCCATTTTGTCAGAAGCTGATCCAACATTTTTGTGATTGAATGGCATAATTTTGGGGTTTAAAGTAGGTTAACATAGGGGGTATTTTAGTCCAGCAAAAACTTTAGTCTAACAAAATCATTTTTTTATTTTTTATTTTACTTTAAGCGATTTGGGGGATCACGGGAGTATCCATGATTGCCACTAACAAAAAAAAAAAAAAAAAAAAAAAAAAAAAAAAAAAGAAAGTGAAAATGCCAAAGAGTATATTTCCGTACTTAAATTGTACCACGGAACCCACTCCCCTCCATCATTGCCCAACTAATACTGGACGGTGAAATCCTCAAGGTCCTATAGTTATGATAGCACGTGCAAATGATGATTCGAGGATTTTGGGAGTCTAATGCACAATGTGGTCCTCGTGACCTCCTAAACAATCAAAGTAAAGCGCACATCTAAACCTTTCAAAAATTCAGTTGTGGTGTAGAAACTCTTGTGGTGGCCTTAAAACATGTTATTACCATAATTATGAAAAAATGTTGTAAAAATATTGCAAATTGAGCTGGTCTTCAATCAGTTAAAAATCTTTAAAATCAACCATTAAATAATGCTTTACAAGAGGCACTATTTTAAAGATTAGATTTTTTCTTTTTTTTTTACTTTTGCATATTAGAGGTCAGAATGATTAATTATAAAGTTTTTAAGACGAACAATTTTCTTTTGATAAGTTTTTAAAGTGCATTTCACTTCTGCTACAACCTTATACACTTAATATAAATTTTTTCTTTTCTTTTCCCCTAAAATACAAACTTTTCCATTTCCTCCTAACCATATATGATAATCCATTATTATCATTTCATTTAATGCGATAAATTATTATAATGCAAAAAGTTTATATAGAACCAAGGCTCTAAACAATTAATTTGCAGCCCACCACTCTTTTGATTCTCAAATATTATCAAATTGATCATCTCGACATCAAGATGTATAGATATGAGAAAAAAATAGATTTCATGTTTTGGAAATATTATATTTTGTAACGCATTTTTGGACCATTAATTTTCAAGATTTTCAAGTTTTCATAGATACGTCGATGTACATTATTTTTTAAGCTTTAAACTTTATAAATAAAGATGAAAATATATTTTAAAGCTATGACAAACATTTCCAATATTGAAACCACATTTCTCACACTATTTGAAAGTAGGTTCCTATTTGATTGTTTAGAACCTAGGCTCTATACAAACCACACCCTATTCTAATAACCCTACTTCTTTAGGATTTATCATCAAACAGCGGGATTTCATCAACTTTGAACAGCTATTTAATTAAAAATAAAGGAAAAGCAATATCGCATAAATCTTAAATTTTATGGAGATGTCCTTTTTTGGACTGTTTTTCTAAAATGCCAACTAGTTCGGTACTCTTATTTGTTTTTTAATTATCCCAAAAAAATACTAAATATATTCATGGCTTTAACAAAGTTCTAGCGCTGACGAAAAGCTATCCATATAAAACAAAAATTCATTCCTACGTAGTTTTATCTGAGGAAGTCAATAAACAGTATACTCCTGCAGAAGCATAAAAATCTTTAGTTTCTCTTGCCGAGGCGCAGCAGGCTCAGCTTGCCCAAGGTCACTGCCTCTCGTCGGGTTTTTTCGCTTCATCACCATTACGACCATCGGTGAAAGCTCTGAGCTTTCTTGTTCTTCTTCTATAAGCTCTTAAAGAGAAGCGCATCTCTCTTTGAGAAGATTCTAGGTGTTAAATTTCTATCTATTTTTGGGGAAAATCTGCAGGGTTTTAAAGATTGGGTTGCAGAGAGAGAGATCTAATTTGATTGGGTTGGTTAGAGAGAGATATATAAATTATCTATTTTCATCTTTGGGTTATCTTAGGTTTGGAAGGTTTCTCTTTTTCTTAGGAAAAGTGGCGTGAGTGATTGAAACTTGAGGGTTAAATTTTTAAGTTGTAAAAGAAAAGTATGTAATCTCAGTGTGGGAATGGAAAATCCATGTTCTTGAGCAAATCTCTAGGAATTGGACCCTTGCATTATTCTTTTCTTAATCTTTTTGCAAATGTTTCCTGTTTTGGCTGTGTGGATCGTATCATCAAGCTGAGGAGATTGGCCATTGCCAAGCACTTGGTGGAGAGATAATCAAGTAAGTACACATAAATCTCTGTGTGTCTCTCTCTATCTATCTCAATATATCTCCTTTTTCTAAATGGAACGTTGTTAATCGAGTTGGGGGGTTCTCTCTGTGAAATCTGGGTGTTTTTTATTTTGGGTTTTATTTGATTTCTCTCTCTGTAGTTTATGGAAGGCATCTATTTTTTTTTTTTTTTTTTTAATTGCCATGCTTGCGATTTTGATTTTTTGGTTGAAATGGTGGTGACTTTTGAATTGGGTTGTGCTTCAAACTCCTTTTGTTGATGGAATCAGTCTGTTTTTTTTTTTGAGTGGGTATGTCTCAAACCCTGTTTTCTAATGAAATTTCTGTGGTCTTTGGATTGGGGTGCCTGCAAATGGGTTAGCTGCAACTCCTTTTTTGCTTGGTTTCGGAATTGGGTTGTCTGCAAATGAGCTTGCTTTACTGTTTCTAAGTTCTTCTTGATAATATGAGTCTCTTGTGGATCTTCTTTCGTGCTTTCCAGAATTTAGCTGTCTGCAAATGCAAATACATGCTTTACTTCCTTCTTTTTTCTTCTCTATCATTGAAATTGCACTAACCAGTGTTCAGGACTTGGCCTCGGCCCTGTCAAGTTCCAGTGCCCTCGCCCCTCGCCCTTGTTAAAAATTCTTAAAAAATCAAAAAATTTGTTAAAAATACCGATATATGATTTGGAAATATATTGTAATAGGTTTGTTATGGTTTTTATGATGATTCGTGAATTTTCCTTAATACATATTCAAATTTTTATTTTTTTTCATTTTATTGATTTTTCTGGAATATTTCAAGGTATAAATCATTTGTTTTCTATAACTCATATTTTGTATACTTTTTCCATTTTTATAGACATCTAATGATTTCTATCACTTATTTTACTTTTAGCTGATTCTTAATTAATTTTTATCAGTCAATTTTTTTTTTATAGTGTATTTTGGGCTTGTAAAGGCCTCTTATCAGTCTATTTATATTTTTTAATTTTTTAGTGTATATTTGGCTTGTCAAGGCCTCGGACTTGGCGAAGTTACTCAGCTTGGGCAAGGGGTGAGTCTGAAGCCCAAGCTGAGTTTCAAAACATTGGTACAAACAATGCCATCAACTTGATGTTGCTGCATTGTAGGAGAAATTTTGATTTTTTTTTTGTTTTTGATGCGTGATGGTTATTATCATGTATTAGGTATTACCTTTTTTGCCTTTCTTTTATATCAACTAGTATAAGTAATGCTACAATTTTAAAGTTATATTTTTACTGATGTAATGTATATCTTTGTGTAATTAGTTTTCTTGCTAATCCTAAAAATACGTAATATATCTATTACTCTGGCCTTGCCACTTCTTCGAATTATATCAACACTTCACTCCTACAATAAGTTATTCATTTCAATTATATTATTTACGGTATAATTTGTATTTCAATTAGTTCTCTCTGCAGTTTCCTTTTTCATTTTTTGGCACTTTTAATTATATTTTTAGTGAATTAGTTGACATTATATTTACTTATATTAGTAAATATACTATTTACTTATGTGAAAGTTTTCTATACTTCCCCTTTACTTATAAGTGAATAACATATTTACCACAATTTTCCACAGCAAGATTTTTTGTTTTTTTGGGTAAATTTGGTAATTTAGTGGGGATCACGGCCCCCTACCTGTTCAAAAAAAAAAACGGGGAGGGGGCCATCATCCCACTAAATTACCAACTTTACCCCAAAAAAAAATCTTGCTTTGGAAAATTGTGGTGAATATGTTATTCACTTATAACTAACTATGTTATAAGTAAATATATTATTAAGTAAATATATTGTTTGCATATATGTAACTATATTATTTACATTATAAAATAGTACATATTATTTACTTATGACTAAATAATTTTCTTTTAAACCCTAAACCTATTCCCTCTCTTCTCTCATCCCTTGCTCTGCTGCTCTAATTTTTTGTTTTCTTGACAGCATTAGAAAGCTTCACTTGGGCTTAAAGTTGCAGGAGGAGGAGAGCGAGGCATCTGTGGACTTGACATCAGGTGAGGCTCTATTGTTATCTCAGATGGGTTTTTGGTTCTCTAAGTTGGGTTTTCTCGCTCGTGTGTTGATTGTGGGTTTTAATGTTGTGTGTCTGAGTTTTCTTTTCTCTATGTATATCTGCAACTTCTGCTTTACTGAATTCCCAAGCCTAATCACTTCCTGTCACAGCAGCCACTCTTGTCTCTGAAACTTGGTTTCTCTCTCTTCGGCAAACTTTGTCTCTCTTTCCAAAACTTGGTTACTGTACCAGTATGTCACGTAGTGATCCGTGGTTTTGGGCTTCTCTCTGTTTACATGTTTGCTTAATGGGATTCTCATTGCCTATGCGCTTTTAATTTATCTTTTTAGTATTATATGATGAATTTCTTTGGTACCGAAAATTCATTTGATCAAGACAGTGGGATTTTAGAAACCAGCGTGCATTGCTACTGTACATGTTATTAAAGATATGATTTTGATAGAACCCATCCTAATGTAAAGAACCATATGTGGGGAGAGCAGTATTATTGGAGGGAAACTTACTGGAACTAGAGATCTAAGAAAGTCCCAAAATTTCCTGAGAAAATCTCCTAATATTGACTCAGTAAGTGCAGAGAGGGGGTGCTCTTAGAAGTGGGTGAGGAGGAAAATACTATAAATTTTCTTACTTATTGCGAATGGAATCTAGATAGAGAAAAAATTTCCAGAATTAATGTAGTATATATATGAAGTCTGTATCTCTTTTTGTGACTTGTGATTTGAGATCAAATGTATTCATGATAACTGTGTCTTTTTCTATTGTGGAGGTGCACTGTAAGATGCTCATTATGGTTTATTTGCCTTGATAATTTCAGTTCCAGTAGTTATGCTCAAAGGTTTGAATGTTTTTGTTAAAGGCTTGGGGATCTTTCAAGTGCTGCCAGTGTTTCAAAAAGCGCTAGGTGGCACCTAGGCAGTCCGGGGGATCCAGGCCGCCCAGCGCCTAGGCGGGCACCCAGAACCTGGGCAGCCCAGTAGAAAGAAAAATGTTTGTAGTCTAAGTGTCTAAGTCTAACAATATAATTATATAGCACATAATCCATAATCCATATTTCCATGAATGAGGAGAATTTAGATAGTCAATAGTCCATATTTTCATACAATGCTAGAACCATACAAGCATACACATAAGAGTTAGATAGTAGAAACTAGAAACTAAAAAATAGCAAAAAGAAAATATACAGTCTACGACTCAATAGTCAACAACAAGAGTCAATTGTCTTTATTCTTTAGTCATCATCTTCATTATCAGAAGGAGTAGGGTAAGCCTTATCATATGCATAAGATTCGAGGCCATCATTATCTGAGTCATCTCTCTTTTCAACATAACGTTCGTCCTCCTCTGTTTCTTTTGAATTTGCCTCTTCCTCCTCTTCTTCTACCTCCCTCTTACTCTGTGCAGATGAGGCCCTAGGAGTTTTTGCTGCTCTACCTGGTGCCTCTTCGCCCTTTTCTTTCTTTTTGTGCTTCCCTGAACTCAAGTATTGCATAATCTCTTCTCTGGTAGCCTCAGGAACATTTTTACAAGGGCAACATCCCCATAATACCGGCAAAGTGTTTGTTGAACGGGTAAATACCCCCATTAGTATCATTTCCACAATAATTACACCTAATACGATTTTTGTCATTCGGATTTGGGTTATGACCATACTTCCAACCTGGATCATCACTTCTAGAAGAATCTGGAGAAGATATTTTCATAGAACAATGCTCATTTTCTTCCCTTTCTGGTTCTACTAAATTCAAATATTGTCTAATCTCATCTCGAATAGCTTCAAGAATCTTTTCACAAGAAGCAACATTCCCTTTAATACCGGCAAAGTGTTTTTTGAATCGGTTAATACCCCCATCAGTATTTTTTACAAAAATTGTATTGTTTGGTTTTGGGTTATAACCATACTTCCAAACTAGATCACCTCTTCTAGCAGAACCAGAAATAGACCTATCCAAATGACAAGGATATTGTTCTTGTTTGTATTTTACTGAACTCATATATTGGTTAATCTCCTCTTTGATAGCTTCAAGAACATTTTTACAAGGGGCAACATTCCCCCTAATACCGGCAAGATGTTTTTTAAACCGGTTTATGCCCCTTTTTATATCATTTTCACAATAATTGTATCTTATGCAATTTTTATCCAAAGGATTCGAGTTATATCCATACACTTCGACTAGATCTTGAAGAAGACATCTCTAAATACTACAAGCAATCTAAAAAATAAAATTTTGCACTTACTTTGAATGCTCGATCTCCAAACTTCCACCTCTGAGATGTTTTTTAGAGCTAAAATCTTCAAAAACACTCTCTAATAGGCCTCAAGAAACTCCAAAACTAAATCTAATCTTAATAGGTGATGTTTGGATCCATTCCCCGTGACTTTGAGAGACACTTACATCCAAAGAAAATCATGAAATCTAGTTTGTTTTAGGTTTCTCTCTCTAAAATGGGCTCTAGTGGTTTTAGGTTTCAAAAGACACCAAAAAAAGCCCCTCAACAAAGGGCATTTCCGCCTTTGGGAGGGGCGTAGGCTCTGGGCGGCCGCTAGGGCTAGGTGCTGGGCTCCCGCCTAGGCGAGTTCCCAGGCGCCCGCCTAGGCGAGTTCCCAGGCGCCTAAGCAGGTACCCAAGAATATCCCGTCTAATTTGACCGCCTAGGCTTGGGTGATGCGCCCAGGCCTTCAGAACCGCCTAGGCGGCCGCCCAGTCACTAGGCGGTCCACTTTTTAAATCATTGAGTGCCGCTTTCTCTATGATCTTGATATATGTCTTTCAAATAAATAAAATTTTGGTCACTCTTTTTTACTTCGTAGGATCACATTGCCAGATTGTATGGGAAAGAAACGGTTGACATCGCCAATTGACATAGCAAAGGAAATCTCCAAAAGTTTGTGTCCTGAAATGCTTTGATTTTGCAGGTATGTTCCAATTCAATCTTTGTTGAATGATCTACATATTGGTATGATTAGATTTTTATGTGAACATTCCAGCTTTTGTCTTTGGCTTTTTGTATTTTTGGAGACCCAGAAATTGGGGTCCTAAATATACTCCTTGGTAGGGTTTTAGTTGTGGGAACTTATACCTATGGGAGCTTATAATCCTTTGATTTACATGTATATAATAATTGATATCCGACCCCAATTAATTGGGAAAATGCTATACTGATGATGATGATGTATATAATAATTAATATACTTTCATAATCTCTCCTAACATCTGTGTGTGTGTGTTGAGGGGGGGGGGAAGAGAGAGAGAGAGATTCTATTTGTTATTCTCCTATATATTTAAGTTCTTCATAGTCTATTTTCTTAGTGTAGCAGCCGGCTTTAACAAAACCCCACAAATCTTGTTTTTCATAAGATAGGCTCCTTTCTCCTGTCATTACTTCTCTTGTGTATATTCTCTGAGAAATTCATTCCTTCTTATTTTCTATTTATTTTAATTTGGTGAGAATATATTCATCTAAGAAATTCATTCCTTCATATTGTCTATTTGTTTTAATTTGGTGAGATCTTCTTTTGTGACAGTATTTCATCTAGGAACAAGACATATGCTTAAGTTAACAGCTTACAAAAAAAAAAAAACAAGACATGCTTCTTTCCATTCCTTTTTTTTTTTTTCCTTGCCTTCTTCTTGGTCTGAGGATTTTATGTATTCTTCTTACTTTTATAATTTTCATATTTAGTCTATGTTTGGTCTCTACTGTCAATATAATTTGTATTGTTACTAATGTTGGTGAGATATTTTAGAACAGTAGATTAGTATACAACTGAAGTATAGTTGTATTTTCAACAAAAGTTTCCGTAGTCTTTTATTTTTTATTTTTAAAGGGCTATAATTGATGTTTATTCCTTGTAGTTAGAATTTCGAATTATTTTTAAAAGATTATTGCTGTGCTTTAATGTTTCTTGAAATTGTTTTATATTAAAATTCTAAAAAGTCCATAAGACTTCCCAGCTTTTTTATCTTCTCACTTTTGAATTTAAAAATTTTCTACTCTCAAAAATATCTCTGACTGATTTTAACTTTTTATTACCGTATTACCAAAATTTTCAAGTGTTTCAAAATAAATATGTTATCTTTGACCATAAAGAAAGGAAACCCACTTTATTTATTTTTAATATTTTTGAAGGATTTATAATTTTAAGTACATATATTTATTTTCTAAAAAGAGTTTGTGACAAAAAAGAAGTTATAACTAATTTCCAATTTTTTAGTTTTTTTAACTACTAAGTAATGATGTTTTGTAAAATTATTGTCTATTCTATTTTCTTTTACAAATATTTGTGCTTTCATGTTATTGATAGTATTGGAGTATAAAAGTGGTTTTAAAATATTTTATATTTTTAATTCTTGAACTTTTAATGCTTTTGGATTTCTTTCATGTCTCATTTTGATGCGTTTGAAAGAACCTCTTTTAAAATATAAAAGTTAAAGTAATTCCCACCACAGATTTTTCATTCTTTAAAAATAGTTTATGATCAATTTTCAAATGGGAAAACTTTCTATACTTACCCGTCATATGCATCTTATTACTAGTGTTATGCACCGCATTGCACGTGATATTAAATATTAATAATTGAAATTGTTTTTCAATCTTGAAATAATAAATAGCATATTTATTTATTTTATGGATTTTTTGGATAATTTTTTTTATTTTCTATTTTCTTAATTTTGAATTATATTATTTTTTTAGTGTAGTTGAATTTATTTCTCTTTATATTAGTAATTATATTTATTTAAGTAAATATTGTCTTTAAAATTTAGAATATAGAACACCTTTGCCCAGGCCACTTAGATCATCAGCAAGACTCTCCGAGCACCATGCCCTCAGGTGTCTTGGTCTGCCCCTCTCTACAGCCACCCCTTTGCAGCAACGCCCCCTATTGCTCCTCCCCTTGCTTTTGCCCCTCTCAGATATCTCTCTATCTCTTTCTCTATTTTCTAATCACCTTCTCAAATTTACTTTGAGCGCCCATCTTGTGGGATAATTCCATTGTAAATTATATGCTTCATATATAGAAAGTTAACACTTCAAAAAAAAAGAAAAAAATAGAAAATGGAAAATGGAAAAAATGAAGAAAACAAAAAGAAATTGTAGTTTCCATAAAATGTCACGCAAACATTAAAATATAATCCGTAAACATTAAAATGTAATTATAATTCTATTTAAGATATTAACAATTTGCCATTCGCTTTGGACATTAAACATAATCCTTATTATCTATAAGATTTATAATAGAACAACCTATATATTAATTGTATTTTTGGGATTGTTTCACTTATTAAATAATTCTTATGAAATAGTATATCGCTTATGAATAGGAATTACATTTATGGTAATTTGTATGTCTATGTTTAGAATGCACACAAAGTTGCAACCTTAAACAATCAAAGTAAGGCACACCTCCAAAGTTTGTCATAAAATGCAATTTTGGTGTCGAAAATTCTTAGGATGGCATAAGGATCTATTTCCTTCTCTAATTATTAAATTTTATACTCCAAAAATGGTTCAAATCAAATAGATATATGAACGCATAAAAATCTTGAAAATGGATGGTCTAGATAATGTGTTGCAAGATGTACTATTTTTAGGATGTAAAATCTTTTTTCTTTTCCATATCTATACATCTTGATGTTGAGATGACCAACATCAAAACAGCCTTTTTCTAATGATTTTGGAGGTGCACCTTAATTCTACATTTTAGTATGTCAACCTTATATAAACTGTTTTTTTTTTTAACATAACCTTATATAAACTTTTTCCTTTAATTTTTGTAGGTAACACAGAGAAAAGATGTAGGGATAAGACCTTGAGGTTGTACTTTACTTGACTCTAAGAGCTCATAGAAAAGCGTGTGGCCTCTTTTTCAGAGGTTATTGAAATTCTAGATGGCGAATAGCAAGTACGAGTATGTGAAATCCTTTGAACTCCCAGACAATCTGTTGCCTTCCACATGGATCATTGTTAGAATTGATGGCCGTGGCTTCCGAAAGTGAGTCTATCACTCTCTCTCATCATCATCCAAGGTGTGGATATATGCTTGTGAATCCATTTTGATGTATATTTCAATTGGGAATATTTAATTTTTCTTTTTCATCTCTTTCAATTGATTTACCCAAAAAAATCTCTTTCAATTGGGTTCTCTTTGTAGGTCAGTTCATAGATGACTTATGAAATTTTATAACTTCAAGTTTGTCTGGTGCTGATGCAAAACTCTGGCCATATGTGTTTTGGCTGCTTTTTAGGTGATTCCAAGAATATGTGTCAGTGACTTTTTAAAAAGCCAAATATCACCCATTTTTCACACACAGGAAAGTCTCTCTCTCTCGGTCACTGTTTTTTTTTTTTGGATGTGGGAATTTAGTCCCCATCCTGGCGTCATATTGTAGCGCCCCACCATGCTGACCACCTAGCCTTGAGCCCATTCCTGAAAAGACTGCCTCTTAGTGTGTAAAGAAAAGTTTGTTAATGCTTGCTTTAACCCTAAACTCAAAAGCCTACGAAAAAAAAAAAAACGAAAAAAGAAAAAAGAAACACTGAAGTTTTGCAAGAAATCAAAATGGAAATTGACGCAAACATGTAACAGCCACACCAGCAGTAAAAAATCTGTCATTTTCCCATGTTGCTCTTCTATTTTGTAATTGGAGTTTCCATACCTAATGTGTAACATAAAACCTGGTAGCTTGAGGGTTTTGAGGCTGTTAATCTTGCAAACAAGGTTGTATGTTTTCTGATCTCATCTTTACCAATAGAAAATGATGAAGATGAATAATGGTGTTGAGCTATTTCCTTATTTTTCTAGTTATAGATATCTTTAAATTATAAGTGGATGCAATCTATTCATGGAGCTCTGTATCAAATGTTTGAACTTTGACCTCTGATTGGAACAATTCATTGCTGATATTTATTTTGGGATGTTATGAAAGTAAGTTCCCTTAGGACACTAAATGGTTACCAACCTGTAGACTTAGATGGAAAAACAAGGTCAGTTAAAGTTGTGAATATTCAGTTAAATTAACTATAGATTATAGGGGTTGAAATTAGCGATATAGTTTGTCATATTAGGAAGAAACTTCTTCCGTTTTCTTCCAGGTGAAATGGGGTGCTTTTATTCCATTGTTAGTTTATTTATCAACTTCTGATTTTTGTGTTGTGAACCATGCAGTAATTGTTTATTATATGAAGAGAAGTTTAAGGTTGTTAGGACATATATATTGTACAGATATTCAATCAAGTTGCTAGATTTTATGATTTGATGTAAATCTTTCCATGGGTCTCACATGAGAAAGGATCATCCCGTTCTCTAAAACTACTAGACTTCATGTAATTTTTTAATCAGGTGGGGCTTTGATATTGTCAACCTTTATAAGAATTAGTTTGCTCTTCCTTTAAGAAAATTGTATAAACCTTTAATTTGATAAGAGTTTCTTATGTCTTGTATTCACCAAGGAAGGAAGATTCCTTTGGAAAGTTATTTTGATAAGGGAAGTAATTGGGTGAAACCATGATCCAAGAATTATTGGTGAACTCAACTTAGAGAAGCAATGTTCCTAAAATGGCCCTCAATTGGGTGGGTACATAAGACAGTTTTGCATTAGGCAAGCAACTGGATGCTAGCCCACATTTCTTTATTAAAAAATAAAAAAAAACCTCCTCCAAATCCTTATCTTAGGGAATATATGTCAGTGATGATAAATGAAGCCTTTATAAGTTCGAGCAACTATTTACCTCATTTTCTTAGTAATGGGGTTTTCTAAATTGGTTTACTTTTTTGGTTATTCCCAAGCAGTGAATTGTATGTATCTATCGTTCATCTGCACTGAAAAGAAATTTGTTGATAGAGTTCTTCTTATGTAAATTTGGTTTTAGAGTTGTACCATACTTACGCGAAGCGATTCCAAAACCGAATCGATGTAGGAAACGGAATCGAGGAATCGCCACTAGCTGGAAGATTTCCTGTTTTTTGAATCAATGTCTGTGCAAGAGGAATCGTGGGGGATGATATTCCTATTTGTCAAACTCAGGTTTCCCTAAAATGGAATCGAGAACCTTGCATAATGGAACAAGATTCCTAGCTCATTGGAATCAAGTTTTTGACCAAGTTGGAATCGACCTATATGGAATCAAGATTCCTTCATTTATGGAATCGAAATTCCGACATCTTTGAAATCGAGAGGAACTGAGAGGAAAATATTATACATCTCAATGTCATTCACATGATTGACATGTCATACATGCACATCTACATTATTTGTGTTACTATTACATTATTTCTAACATCTTGGAGTTGCAATCTCTCTATTGGGTCAATGCAATGCATCCTTAAAGAATTAAGTAGAAAACGTGGACCACCACTTTAGTTTCTATTGGTCATTACGTGCCAAAAAAGATGACTACACCTTGTTGCTTTAGATTGGGTGTCTAGCTCGAGTAATTTGATGCCTCTAAAACTTCTAAACATCACTTCTCATAAAAAAGCTAAAAAAAGAGAGAAAGTGGTAGTACTTTGGTAAATACACAATAAATGTAGAATCGAGATTCTCCAATTGTGGAATCGTGAATCAATAAATATTGGAAACAAGATTCTATAAGTGTTGGCATCTAGATTCCTAAAATAAGGAATTGAGATTCTAGGACTTCACAAAAGTAGATTCTATAAAGATTCCTTATCAGAATCGCCGAATCAGGATTCTGAATTGGAATTGCGACCTCCGGTGAGAAATTCAGTTAACTATGAGTTGTACGTTGTATAAATTGTTGATAGTGTTGTGTGTTGTCAATTTGTCTTATAAGTGAAGGAGGACATCTTACATAGTAGTGATATGGAAATCCAGATTTCTGTTCTCATCATAATTAATGATTTTCTTTTAACAGAATATCTCACAGTTTTATTAGAATATTTGAGATTAGCATAAATGGCCTCAAGATGACAAATTCTATTGCAGAATAACTTACTTGTTTGTGTTTTGTATTTTCATTGTATTCTCATTCTATCTATGGAAAGAAATGCAACGTCCTTTTTGTTCTCATTCTTTACCTATATTGAGAGCTGACATTCCTTTTTGAATAAGTTATTGTCTTCATGGTGCCTTCATGTAAGTTTATGTGGCATTATCTTTCTTTAAGCAAATCCTGGTTCTTTTTTACCATTCTTGGTAGGTTTTCGGAGGCTCACGAATTTGAGAAGCCCAATGATGAGAATGCCTTAATGTTAATGAATTCATGTGCCATTTCCTTGCTAGACGATTTCCCAGACATTGTATTTGCCTATGGTGTTAGTGACGAGTACAGGTGCTGAATTCATTTGGTAAATTTTTTACATTAGAATCAAACTTCTCGGTTCATATCTATTCAATGTCATCTCATATTGGATGGTTGTGTTTTTCCCACCTAATACTTTTAAGTGTACTATAACCCAATGGACTTTACAAGTCATAGTCCATTAGGTCATCGTTATCCAATGAAATGATCAACGGTGAGGGAAAGAAAGCGGGACCCACAATGTTGGCTCACTCTCTTTATCATGGTCAATCACTTCATTCAATGTTAGATGACGCATTTTAGTTTTCCCATTATCCATTGGATGCTAGCATACTTTTCCTACTCATAAGGGATAATCTTTGTTATTCGGTGGGTTGCAAGAGTGGCTAGCTCCCAACAGGAATTGGCTATGATTTTTAATGAGATCACAGTTCTCTTTTCTCCATGTTTTGAAAGAAGATCCATCAGCCAATGAGAGCGATGAAAACTCTGATCTTTAAGTTCTATTGAGTTTTCCTAGTCAATAAGATTCTGCCTTTGGCATCTTCTTGGTGCTGAGTAGTGATGCTTGGACTTCAGTTCGAGTTAATAAAGTTTTAAACTGTTACCAATGAAATAAGAAAAGAAAAATATTGGTTGGGATGAATTTCAAAGTTGATGTGATGCAGGGAAAAAATAATAAGCAGAAAAAATAAAAATAAAAATAAAGGGGGCCTCTCTCTGGGTCTGCAAGAGAACCCCAAGATCTTTTCACAAAATCAAACTCTTTCTTTGTTCTCCAATCACCCTCTCTACATAGAAGGGACCATTTCCCTTTAAATACAAACTAAACGGAATAAAAAAGAAAAGAAAAGAAAATTAAACTCTCTCTCTCTTATCTGATAAAATCATGTCTAACTGTTCCTAATGGATTGTTAGGGGTGGTAATGGACTCGGGACCTGACCCAGGATCCGACCCGGGTGGGTCCGGATATGGGTCCAAAAATTGGACCCGGCAGGTCAGGTCCAGGCCCATGTAGAGACCAGACCTAGACGCGACCCGAATAGTGTTGATATTTAAATAAATATAACTCTATTTTTTAGTTATAATATTTAAATAATACATGCATATATTTAACATAATCTTTAAATATATTTAAGTATATATACATTTTTTTGGGTTGGTTCCAATCAGGTTTGGTCGGGTTTAAGTTCGGGTTCGGGTCGCTTAAATTTTTTACTAGGAACGGACCAGACCTATTGCTACCCCAATGGCAACCCAACCATATGATAATCCCTATCCATATCCATTTAAAAAAAAAAAAACTAAGCTAAACTTCCACTTCTACCTCTTTAATCTCTAAAGCTAAAAAGATAAGAATAACCCTAAAGAAAACTAAAAATCCAAAATTCCAAATAACATATTTTTTAAGTCCTAGAAAAGTATAAAAAAAAAAAAAATCATCTTTTTTTAAGTTGCATCATGATGAATAGTATCAGAAGATGTCTATTGGTTGTACTTAATGTGTAAATTATGTTTGTGCTTTGCAGTTTTGTTTTCAAGAAGAGTTCTCAAATCTACAAGAGACGTGCCAGGTTTCTTTTGCAATATCTTTCATTTGATTCATGCATCTTCACCAATTAGAATCATACTCATGTACTAGGGCAGGTTCATCCTCATGAATTTTTGTATGATGAAGAGACTTTTAAAAGGGGAAGTATACCTTAGTCCACTGGAGTATGATACATGATACTCCAAAGGGACATGCAGTGTCTGTTTCTGATGATAAACAGCACCGCGGTGATTAACCCTACCGAGAGGTGAATGCCTCAGCAGGCCCCTCTAACATCAATCTCCACTGTCACCACTAGAGAACAGTGGATGCCCTTTGGAGTATTGCTTACCCATCTCTATTGTATTATGGTTCCACTAGCTATTTAGAAATGAAATGCATCCAAGGGGTTGACCACCATGGTCATTGTCTTTACCTTGGAGGTCCATATTCCAGTCCATTGGACCATGGTACTTTTCTCCCCTAAATGAGATGAAAAATTCATTTTAGTTGCTGTTATTCTTGTAACTCATGATTTTGAAGGGTTAAAAGATTTACATGGTTCTTGTTTCATTTAATTTGCAGCAAAATACTATCTACCTGTGTTTCATTATTTTCTTCTACATATGTCATGAAGTGGGCGGAGTTCTTCCCCAATAAACCATTGAAGTATGCACCGTCTTTTGATGGGCGAGTTGTATTGTATCCTACAGTTGCACATGTTCATGATTATCTCTCTTGGCGCCAAGTGGATTGTAAGTATCTTTAATTGATAGACTCCCTGTAAGTTCATGGGTCAATGCTTTGTTAAAATGCTGAGATAATTGAGATTTTCCTAGTGCATGATAATTACAAAATTTAGCCACTTAGTGTTTTTGGAAAATGTACTGTAATTTATGGGAAAATGTAGCCCATTTGGTTCATCATCACTAAGCAGTGATAGATGGTGATGGTGAGAGAGTGGAACCCCACATTGGGGGTTCATTTCCAATCTGATGGGTGTGTTGTAGTCCATTGTGTCACCACCTTGTTGAATGATGGGCATAATCGGTTGTGTGACCCACCACTGGGGTTTAGACCTTTTTCTGTCAGTTCCACTCTCCCATACCCTCCATTAACATCCTTCATTTCATTGGATGGTGATAATCCCAAAAGAGAATTTTTTGCTATGGTTATTATCTGGTAGAATCCTATCTTCATTCAGTTTCGTTTTTTTTCAGGTCACATAAACAATCAGTACAATACTTGTTTATGGACATTGGTGAAGTCCGGAAAAACCAATGAGGAAGCACAAAAATTTTTAAAGGTGACATAATGTTAACTTTGCTTTAGAAGCAGAGTGGCTGACCTTAGGCTGAGACTCACACTTTGATTTCTTATTTTAGATAAAACATAGCTAAGATAAATATTGGAGATATTAGAAGAGGACCAATTCCTAAGCCCTAATTTGGAACATGATACATATGATTTCTATCTATCTATATATATATATATATATATATATATATATATATATACATCTGATACACATTATTTCTTTCTCCCAGTCATTTGATGTTTGCTGAGTAGTCTGATCTTGTGAATTTCAGGTTCCACATGCTCTTGTGAAGTTTATTGTCCTGTAGTTCTCTCTCTTTCAAAATTGAATTGAAAGTTCAGTCTTGGTTCGAGTCATGATTTCTTCTACTTTGCAAATTCATTTTTGGTTTGATTCATGATGTCTTTCATCTGGTTTTATGCATGTTTTTTCATCTAATGCTTGTCAATGTTGCATTCTAATTCATGCAAGATCCTAAGCCAATATTATCCTATGAAACTATAGGAGCTTTTAAAGCATTTGTTCCTTATCTGATTTTCAGGGTACTCAAAAGCAAGAAAAAAATGAAATCCTTTTCCAGCAGTTCGGCATCAATTACAATACATTACCTCCAATGTTTAGGAAAGGCTCTTGCGTCTTTAGAGAAGAGGTTTGTTTCGTAGAAAGAGTACAATTAATAGGGACACTGCAGCATAATCTAGTATAGTCATATCTTTCTGTTGGAAATTAATGATGTGAAATAATTACTAAAATTGAGAAGGATCGAATATTTTTTTTTGAAATTTATTTAAATTACAGGTGCACGAAATTTCAAAGAGTAAGAAAGTTAAGAAGAAGGTGGTTGTGGACCATTGTGACATTATTTGCCCGGGCGACATGCACTTTTGGAATGAGCATCCATACATCCTATCTGATGATCAGTAGACACATTTCATTTTATAAATGTCTTAATTTTTCATGATTGATGGAAATTTTCTACCATGCGATAGCAAACTTTGTTTATCGATTTTTTTTGTTATTAATATATTGAAGAAAAATGAAAAGAAAACTGTGGTATAAATCAATCAAATTCTTGTGATTTCAATTTTGATTTACAGCTTTTTGTCATGTTGACTTTTGTGTGTGTTTGAGAGAGAGAGAGAGAGAGCGAGAGAGTCCAAATAGTAACAAGATGGTTCTCTTACCCTCCAAGATCAGTCTCATTGGAAAAATTTCCTGAGAATGTCTCACTGCAAGTGCAGTTTCATACTTTGGACTGACCATTTCAATGCATTTGCAGTTTCATACTTTGGACTGACCATTTCAATGCATTTGCAGTTTCATACTTTGGACTGACCATTTCAATGCATTGGTAATTAATGATTTGGAGTTCCTTTGGAGCTTCAAACCCACTTTTTTATTGATGAAGTATTTCACAATCAATCTATGGGGAGCTCTAAATCCACTTTTTATGTTGAGAGTAGGAATTGCAGGTGTTCTAGAGTGCTATTGGGTCTTCAATCCATGTAAAAATTTGGAGTTTTTGCACGGACATAAAAGCTTAGAGTTTAGCCACCTAAAACAATCAATGGGTTTCAGAATTTTAGCCATATTTAAATAAACTGAAAGGAGAAATTTATCAAGATTTAGCTACAAAGATGAACTACTTGACACTTTGCTAATGTCTATTGATTTAATTTTAAGAGGCCTATCAAAATACACTGGATCATGACTTGAATAGGTGAAGATGAGTAAAATATTAAATAATTGGTAAGTGACTGGTATTTTGATACACTTTTCTATAACAAAAATAAATATTCGAAGGGTCTTTATGGTCTAGGATTAGTTACCTGTTCCTTTTCCCACTGGAATACAAACATCAGTGCTTGTATAAAGCAGAATTTTGTTAAGGTTCGTATAATGTGCTATCTTATATTTTACTAGTAATGCTACCTCTAAACTCAGCTGTAAGATGTAATTTTGGCGTTAGAAACTCTATGATGATTTGAAAATCTATGTCGAACCTCAGTATAACATTTAAAATTTTAAAAAATAGTACGGATTGAGTAGATTTATAAATATGTAAAACTCTTAAAAATTAATTGTCCATATAGTGCACTTGTTTTTAGATATTAAAATTTTGTGGTCGAGACGATCAATTAAAAAGTTGTTTTCCACCGATGATCAATTTGAAGGTTTCTTGACTTTAAAACACTATTCTTTTACTTGATTTTTTAGGTGCACCTACCTTCTATAGGAAAAGTTGTAACGTTATATAAATTGTTCTAGCAATAAACCAATTATCATTCCTCTGAGAGGTTTGATTGCGGTGCGAAATTCATCTATGCTCATATGGAATGGGGTGGCACACCCCAGCCATCCATTAATGATTACTTCCCTATAACTTACTCTTATTGACAACACATTTTACACTAAATCCCTCAAATCAAAGATCTACTCGAGAGGATATTTTTGATATAGAGTTTTAGGATCTCTGTTTAATAATCACGTTACAAGTATTTTCAAGAAAAAGAAGGATTTCGAGTTTCTGAAAACTTATATTGGTCCATACAAAAGTAGCCTTGATTTTGAACTCCAAGTTTCGAATTGAGGTGTTTTTCTCTTTTCTTTTTTTGTTCTTTTTGGATCGAGAGATCAATTTGGAACTTCAAGTTTTGAATGTCTGTTTTCGTGAATCAATTGGTTTGGAACTTCAAATTCTAAGTCTACACTCAAAGACAACCTGTGGGAAATTCAAAGGTTTGAACTTTGAAATGATCACTTGTCTGTTTTTCTTTTCTTTTTAATGAATGAATAATTCAAGGTTTCAAGTTCCGAACTTGACTCTGCACTCCAAAAAACAAGTGTGTATGAGTAGTTCGGAACTTCAAGTTTCGTGTGGAAAATTCAGTTTAGACCGTGAAGTTATAACCTTATCTCTCGATAAAAGAAAGGCCCTAGTCGGGAATTTGGAGCTACGAACTTCGGGTATTTTGGTAAACTTGAAGGTGATCTTTGTTTCTAAAATATTTTAAAAAGAAAAAAGTTTATATAATGTTATAACCTTAAAATGTAGAATTAAGGTACACCTCAAAAATCCATAAAAAGAAAGCTGTTTTGATGTTGGAAAATTATCTAATAGATAATCTCGATATCGAGATGTATGGATACAAAAAAAGTTTTTGAGTCCCAAATATAAGGTATCTTGCAACAAATTATCTACATCGTCTATTTTTTATATTTTTATTGTTTATAGATCTACTTGATTCTAATCAATTTTTAAAGTTTAAAATTTATAATTAATTATGAAAAATGAATTCTTAGGTCATTCTAAGAATTTTTTACAAGAAAATTATAAGATAAAATTTGGAGGTGCTGTTTAATATGATTGTTTAAGATTGAGTGTAAAATGTAGGACAACTTTTAAATATTAGAAAATTTGCCAAATTTCAATTCGAGAAAATTTTAGCGAGTGGGTCTTTTATCCTTGGGAGCAAAATGTACGTAATGCTCTCGCGGGAGCGGGAGAACAGTATACGACTATATGGGGGGAGTATTCCGTCATAAAAAAAAGAGAAGGTTTTTCCTCGTCATTTTTTTCTCCACTAAGCACCCACTATTTCAGCTCATCATCGATTCTCAGTTAGAAGCCTCTTTATCCAAACCCTAGAGGTCTGTCTGTCCGCAAATGAAAATCCAAGCTCTCTCTCTCTACTAAGCGCTCGTTCTCTCTCTCTAGAAAACCCTAGAAACCTTCCTCGCAAAACGCCAATTTCTCTCTCTCCAAACCCTAGTCCCAAAAACCAGAGACCCCAAAAAACCCGAGGGATTACCCATCTGATTAATCTCAGCAACCTTTCTAACAAAATAAATCAGCTTAAAAAACCATGGTTTGTATCAGGCAAGCCACCATTGATGATCTCTTGGCCATGCAGGCCTGTAACCTGATGTGCCTTCCTGAAAATTACCAGATGAAATACTATTTCTACCACATTCTCTCATGGCCCCAGCTCCTCTATGTTGCAGAGGACTATAACAAGAAGATAGTGGGGTATGTCCTTGCAAAAATGGAGGAGGAATCATCAGAGTGCCATGGCCATATAACCTCTTTAGCTGTTCTCCGAACCCATCGAAAATTAGGGCTTGCTACCAAACTCATGACTGCTGCCCAGAGAGCCATGGAAGAGGTTTTCAATGCTGAATATGTGTCTTTGCATGTGAGGAAGAGCAATAGAGCTGCCTTCAATTTGTATACTGAGACTTTGGGGTATAAGATTCATGACATAGAGGCCAAGTATTATGCAGATGGTGAGGATGCCTATGATATGAGGAAGCAGTTAAAGCCAAAGAGTGGGGGTGATGGAAAACATCAGCATCAGTTTCAACATCAACATCAACATCAGCATCAGCATCAGCATTCAGGTGGGTGTTGCTCTCATGGACCTGATTCGAAATAGGGGGATCGTCTCATTGATTGTTAAGGTAAGATAATGTATTCTTTTTTTGTAGTTTGGATGAATGGTGGGCTGTTGTTAAGGGATTGAACTGTGAACAATTATGATTCAGCTTTCTTTTTTTATTTTTTGGGTTTTTTTTATAGGTGCTTGAATTTTTGGAAGGAATTGTATGATAGTAGTATGTGGATTAGAAAAAGTATTGCATAATTAGATCGAGGCTGTCCTTTTATATCATATGAACAACAGTACCAGAGCAATGTATGCTACAATGTGATTTTAGATGATAAATGGTGGATTTACAGAGATTCTAAAAACAAAATTGGTGGATTTACAGAGCATTCTTTTTCTTATTGGGTTGCTTTGTTTGTGAGCCGTGATCTGTTTTTATCGTTCTGGTTTGGATTTTTTGGGGTGTTTGTTTGATGTTTTTCTATGATATTATTATGTGGTGGTTGTGACTGGTAATTTGTAATGCATACACTTAAGAATGTAATTACCCAAGTTAGAAAAATGCTTGTCTGGTTAAATAACTGGGAAGAATGAAATTGCTATACATCGATGTCTTTCTCAAATAATGTCGATGATTAAAAGCTTCTTTTTTTTAAAAAAAAAAAAAACTGTGGTTTTGGTTTTGGGTGCTCTTTAAAGTATATTTTTTTTGTCCTTTTTTGGAGCAAAGGTACCTGTGGTAATATGTAGAATTATCATATATACAATGTTAAAAAATTTGGCCGCCCAGGCGGCCATTCGGCTAAAACACCTAGGTGGGGAACCTAGGCAGCTGCCTAGGCACTACAGTTAAAGAGGCCGTCTAGCGCTGCCTCGATGCAGGTTGCTGAGGGAGGAAATATGGGAACAGCGTTTTGGGGAACATTCTAAACCCCCAAACTTAATCCATGCCAAAAACTCCCCCAAAACCTCAATTTTGTGATTTATCAAAAGTTCGATAATTTTTTATTTTTTGATCTTCCAAAATCAAAAGCAATACTGCGTGGTAGTTTTCAGAGCTTCTAGTGGTCAAAATTGAGGACTTTTGGTGATTGAATAGACGAGGTTTGGACCGACATTGTTTTCATTTTTATATTTTTAGAGCATGCTGCCATTATGATATTTGAATAAGGTTTTTGATATTTTTTGCTATAATGGATTATGTTTTGAAAAATTTGATTTTTTTTTTCCTTCTACAATATATTAACATGTTTGAAGTTTAAAGATTGATTTTTTTTTTTTTTTGTGATGAATTGATTATTTACTTCTTTGGACAATGAAATTGGGGCTATATCGAATTCTTTTGTAAATAATTGATTCTTGTTTTGTACAATGTGTGGTGTTTTGATATCCTAGTAGTTTTGTTTTACTTCTTTTGATATTTATATATTTGTAGATGAAACATTTACTGATTTGGATTTATATTTTAAGAAGTCATAAACTTTGGATGAAATTGATATTTTGTGAATATTTAATATCTAAAACCAAATCTTACGGATATTAAGTAATAAGTAATAATTATATTATAACTTAGGTCCCTACCTGGCTTGTTGAGGGTGCCCAGCCGCCTAGGCGGCTACGCCCCCAAAACGCCTGGGCACCCACCTGTACTTTTATGAACATTGATCATATGCAAGTTTTTACCCTGAAGGGAAGGGATTGAGATGTACAGGAGAAAACCATATGAGAAACAAATGAAACCTTGAGGAGACAAAAATGGGGCAAACAGCGAGGGCTCTATTAAAAACAGTAACCCTAGCTAAGTTGTAGTAGTTATAAAGTTGGGAGAGATTAAACCTCCTTTGTCAAGGAAGTTATGTGCTCATAAATGTGGAAAGATACGATCAATGTTCTAGTGATGTTCAAAAATTTTGTCGGAATAGGGGTTCAGGTTTCCAGGGGCAGGGAGTTGCCTTGGATACTTAGGATGTGACATTCTTCGAATCCCTTTCGCCGGTAAGGACATTGCCGCATTCTTGTCTAGAAATCTTTACTCCTTGAAGTAGGGTAGAGGATGATGTTGTGAAGTAGGGTAGAGGAGGATGAGTTACCAATCGGCCTGGAAAAGAGGATGATGTTGTGAAGTTGGGACATATCAAGAATGAGAATTTATTGTCGAGAGATCAGTTAAGTTGTTACTTGATATTAATCTATACGCTAAAGTTGTCTTTTTTTTGCAAGTATTGGAGTTAATGTTCTGTGACTAAAGATACAAGTATTGTGAATGCCTTGTACTTATTGTGTGGATGGGATAAGCCTTGAAGTCTCTTGGATGCAAGAGATCACTTTTCTTCTTTAATGCATTGTTCTATTCTTTTGCTCTGATTGATTTTGTCGGATAAAGGACTTTTGCATTACTTGCTGGACTAGAATTTGATTGGCTACTAACCCATCACATGCAATATAAATCTGAAACTTTCTTGGGAGATAGAAGTTGCAGAATTGCAATAATTTTGTGTCTATTATTTAGATTTGTAAAGCTAGCCAAACTAGAATAGGACTCATATATGTTGAGCTCACACCCTTCGAGCCCTATCACAACTATACGAATTCAGGCAGCAGAATTAAGTGTGTGCTTATAGTGGAACCAGTAAACCAGCAAAGAAGCAATCATTGCACACAATAATTTTTACATGGTTCACCCTTAGGAGTTGCATCCACAGGAGAGAGGCAAACAATCCACTCTAAACAATGGAAATTACAAGAATTCGATGAGACAAATTCGTTCTTTTGAGAGGCTTTGTCTCCCTTGGATTTTCTTTTAAGAGGCTTTGAATTTCCCTTGGTCTTCTTCAAGAGGATCTCTACGCTCAAGTCTCTCTCTCTCTCTCTCTCTCTAGAGTCTTCTTGTTCTCTACTAAGTTACTTTTTCTTTTTCTATTTTTCTTTTTCATCAAAGGGTTTTTTTTTTCCTTCAGCATCTCTCTAAGAGGATTTCTCTGTTAGGTTTTCTGTCTTAGATCTTTTCCCTCTCTCAAGAGGAGCTGTCTTTCTTTCTCTGTTTAAGGGGGTTCAGCCCAAAGCCCACGTATCTTCATTCTTTTGCCATATCCTATCATATTTCATCCTACCGTGCATGCTGAACATGGGGGAGAATGGTAAGCGAATGAATCCCATTGCGCGTTGCATGCCAGTGCAAGGCGAAATAGAGTTGAGGAGCAACTTGCTTCAAGAGTGTCACCTGTAGTTAAACTGAGAAGGTCCTCTATGGAACATAAACCCTCCAGAAGGAATGTGTATCGGAGTATGTTACACCAATTGATGAGAGTAAGCTAGAAAGCTACCAGGAAGCTGGATGAACATAAAGAGTGGATTGGACTATGAAAGAGGATATGGGATGCCTTGTATAAGAACCACATCTATTACTTGTGAAGTTGCAAAAGGGCAAAATGGCACTCAAGAACAAGGAATTCAGGCTAAAGATTGAAGGAAATAGCTAGCAACCTAGGTAGAAGACAAGGTTGGTTGTGAAATGTTTCAAAAAGACAAAGGGCATGGGAAATTATCAAAAATATCTTTTTACTCAATAATTTGAGAAACACTCATTTTTTTTCAATTTTAGGTGCATGCTTATTCTTTCTTGTTTTATATGGTGATTCCAAAGCACCCTAAGAACCACCCAGGTACGTGCTTGGGCCTTCACGTGCCTATAAGGGCCATGAAGGCCCATCATGGACCTAATAGGTCCGTGATGATCCCAATATAGGTCCCAGGAACGTGATTGTCCCAAGACCATAACGAACCTATTAGGTTCGTCATGGGTGTTCACGAACCTAATAGTTTCGTGATGGTCTCTAGTCCTCTGAGTTATAGTTGAATGAAGACATGTAGAGACTTACCCTAATTCCTCTATTGCTCATCTTTCCAGTCTAAACTATACTTGGATATGTTCACAGTATAATGTCCTTTCCTTCTAGAACTTACAAGCTAGATTCTTCTCCAAAGGTGGCATTCTCAATCTTAGGAAAATCTTTTCTAGTGACTCGTGTAATTCAAAGGGAATCCTATTCAAAATTTGCTACTCACTCCAACCTGGTGCCGTCATTGTCAATCACTATACAAATTTGGCTTCTAAATTACCAAAAGAAAAATCTCCCTAGTAAAATGTTGATCTTGTACCCATTGGGACCATCATCGATCTATTAGGTCTGTAATGGGTTTTTATGGGCCTATTAGGTCCATGAAGCCCCAAGCATCCACTTGGGAGTGTCTTGGGGTGCTTTGGACATCATGTACTATTAGGTCCTTTATGGACCATCATAAATGCCATAGGTTTGTGAAGGGGTATTTTGGGTAGAAAAATAAAAAGAGAATGTGTATGTGCATAAAATTGAAGAAAATAAGGTACTTTTAGAAATATTTGGAAAAAAGGGATATTTTCAATAATTTCCTAAGTGATGAAATCTTTTCTCAAGTTGTAAATGGTTCCTCTCGTGGTGGATATTAAAGCCAAGTACTAAGCATAGCCCATCATGCAAAAAAGGAGAATGAAGAAATAAATAAAGTTCCTTATGTTAAAAGGAGAATGAAGAAATAGATAGAGTTCCTTATGCATTGGCAGTAAGTTTATTGTATGTCATAGTGTATACAAGGCCAAATCTTGCATTTGCATGGTCGAAATGGGCGCCATGGGACCGTAAAGCCTGAAACTAGAAGTGGAGATTGTTGGGGTCTCCTGTCCCATGAGGAGGAGGGACCATGAGATGATCGATATTATGTTTTTTAGAGAAATTATAAAAAATATACCTTAAATTTTAGCTTATTAAAAAAAAACCAGTACTTTTTTAAACTTCATTTATATCCCTTTTTTTCACTTTTTGCGTTATTTAGATCAAAGTAGTTTTCACGATAGTTGTATGACCATGAAGGAATCACGATAGATTCAATACCGTGATGGTCTTGATGTTTTGAGGCATCACAGTAAATATAGTGATGACCATGAGAAGTATCACTGCATTTAAAGTGTCGTGATGATTTTCAATTTTATAACAACATTCGAAATACCGTGATGGTATTTAATTCTATTTACCCGTGATGGTTTTCTAACCATTGACGAGAACAAAGATAGAAGGGCAGCTACTTTTGGGAATGACATTGCTATTGAAGCATTGGCCATTGAATTCATGAGAGATTGTCGTGGTGAGCATATCTCTGCTTCATTTTATTCTCTCTCTCGGGTTTATTTATCTTCTTGGTCTCTTTTTTTTTTTTATAGCCCTCACAAAAATTGAATGCCCAAAGAATAAGAGTACACTCGGGAAAAAATGGATGGAATTCATAGAACAACGATGGCTTTTTTGGGAGAAGCAGTGGCGGTTGAAGCAGCAGCAC